GAAATAGAAAGATGGTTTTAAAAATATATATTTTAAGCCTCAACTGCCAGCTCCTGGGATCCCTAGGAGGGACAGGGCAGAGCGGCCCCTGTGGGTTCCTGAGACTGGAATTATTTCGGAGAGTAGAAAGCCCTGCCTGTCTCCTGAGGAACGGCTGGTGCTTGCAAACAGTTGGGCCTTTGCCACCCCATGCCTAACCTCTCCACCACAAGGGCTCCCCAGAAAGATCTGGAGAGGGGCCTGTTGCTGTGGTTGAGAAGACACAGGCTAGGAGGTAAAAAATTCAGGGTGTTTTCCTCAGCAGTCACAGGGTTGTCGCATGCAGGGTATGTCCTTGGCAACACACAGCGTAGTTGGATTCTGGGTTAAAGAAGCACGCCGTAAGCTAAGCAGCGATCACCTTTACGTGTAGATTGTCTCGAATGAGGAGCCGCTAAGTGGATGATTAATGAAACTGAGCAAAACCACAGAGGCACGGGTGGGGCGAGGCTTTAAGACAGCTGTTCTTCACCGAGCTCTTCTCGCTGGCCCCAAAGGCGGCCCCACAGAGGCTGTGCACTCGGGGCTGGCTCGCCAGGTGTCCAGCCTGCTCACCAACCACCTTGCCCGAGCCACCGAGTGCTGCGGCAACCAGGCTGCGGGGAACGACGCCCTCCAGGATGTCCTCAGCCTTCTCAATGACCTCTCCAGGTATGCCGGCCCTGCCCCGTGCGTGCGTGCGTGACGCACACTCCGACCTCAAGAGAAATTCAAACGAATAAATGTAGCCAAGCAACTACTTCAGGTACAAAATGGAAGGGATGTTTGGCTTCTCATAAAATATCATTTCCTGGAATACGTCTCTGGCCACAGTGACGAGGCTTGCACTCAATAACCAAAGTGCATGTCCCTCATAAGACCAAGTAAACCCACTGCCATCAAGTCGCTGCCAGCTCACAGCGACCCGATTAGGACAGGGCAGAACTACCCGGGTGAGTTTCCAAGAAGTGACTCTGGATGGGAGTAGAAAGCCGCCTTTCTCCCACAGAGCAGCTGGGGGTCTTGAACTGCTGGCTTTGCAGTTAGCAGCCCCACACGTAACCTCTCCACCGCCAGGGCTCCTCACAGCAAGATGAACTGACTCGTGTTCGGC